TTGGCTGGTGATGCACTTCTTGCATATGCATTTGAGCATATGGCAGTTGCCACAAAAGGGGTGCCTAGTGAAAGGATTGTGAGGGTGATTGGTGAATTGGCTAAGTGTATTGGCTCTGAAGGATTGGTTGCAGGCCAGGTTGTTGATATATGTTCCGAAGGAAATTCCGACGTCGGATTAGACCATTTAGAGTTCATTCACATACACAAAACTGCTGCTTTATTGGAGGGATCAGTTGTTTTGGGGGCTATATTGGGTGGTGCAAATGATCAAGAAGTTGAAAAATTGAGGAAATTTGCTAGGTGTATTGGGCTGTTATTTCAAGTGGTGGATGATATTCTTGATGTCACGAAATCTTCTCAAGAATTGGGGAAAACTGCAGGCAAAGATTTGTTGGCTGATAAAACTACTTATCCGAAGCTGATCGGAATCGATAAATCGAAAGAATTTGCTGAGAAATTGAATAGGGAAGCTCAAGAACAGCTTGCTGGATTTGATCCTCAAAAGTCTGCTCCATTGATTGCTTTGGCTAATTACATTGCTTATAGGGATAATTGATGTGTTTGTCAGTTGTAATTCTCTGTCATTTTAAGGAACTTAATATAATTATACTAATGGAATTCCAGTTGATTTTCATGCATATAGTGCATTTGAAGATTGATATGGATTATCGAAGTTGAGCTTGTAGTTGTATCAATATTCTTGAATGTAAAATGATTGATTATATTTCTCTACGAATTCTTCAACTTTGATTATTGTGTCCCTGATTAGAATTCTTTTGTTAGTAATGATTTCACGCGTTAGATCTCGTAATAGTTTTAGTTTTTAGACGAAAAGATTTAATACTCTTGTCTTCTTGCTTAAAATAGTCCAATATAGCAAGGTGGCACACGTGATTTCATGAAAGCTTCTTCTGGCCTTTAAAACTTGGCCTCGTGCAATGCATGATCAATATTTTATTAGTTGAATGGCAACCAATTTTGACACGAGGACAGGTATAGGTTGTCCTATTCACTTTTGCAAGTTACACATTCTTGGATGATTAGATTCACTTTCCCATGGATATTTTATTACTTGGGTAAAATTGGTTGAGCCCCTTTAGTTCAGCATGCCAAATAATGGCTATTAGAAATTTCAAAAACATTCAAATTCCTATTACTTTGGCTGGATTATTCTCCTTAAAATTTAGTAACTTCAACTCCATTAACAGTTACTTATAAATCTTTTTTCAAAAAGATTAGGACGAAGGAGCTCTGGCTCTCTTCCATATTCCATTTTAGGAAGAAGATTCTCAGAAGCCGATTCTACGCATTAGACTAACTAAACGTGTGGAATAGATAAAATCCTAAGAAAATTCTCGGCCCTTTTGTGTCTTGATAAATTGGGCCCCGTTGGTCCTAAACTAATAACCCTATAACTTCAATAATCCAATTGTTGAATAAATTGCATCTT